AGAGAGCTGCAAACTGTAATCAATGCGTGAGGTGCGAGGCCAGTGCCTCTATGAGCCCCATAAGGCCCCATTTTGCAGCCCGTTGGCCGCCCTAAGTGAAGGCAGGCTCGACGAGGCCCTCAGGGCCCTTTTTTTGGCCACCACGCAACTCAGGGAAATTCAGGCAGTTGCGCAGCGCCAGTTGGTTGAGTGAACCCAGGCCCTGGGCCGCCTGTGTGAATGTATGTGAAGCAGGCCCTGGGGTGGATACGGGTACCGGGCCAAACACAGGCCGAAAGCAGTCGGGCACATGCAACCACTTCAGGCCCAAGGCCTGCTCTCGTCGTGCTGGGCCTCAGGCTACCGGGGCCTACTGGAAGCTTCCTGGGACTGGACGCAGGCAGGCCACTTCGATATAGGGAAGGGCCTGCCTCCTCATTCGGCATTCGGGTGCTGGCTGCATGCTGCGCTATTTGCTGGCTGGCGCCTACGCTCTCACGGGCGAGCAGGGAAGGAGCATGCAGCCATAGCCGAGCTGCGCTGCTGTAAGCTGGGTGAGACGCAGGGTGGTCCTTGGGTGCTAGTGGCATCTGTGCGTTGGGGAACGAGGTTGTGAGTGTAGCGCGAGACATACCTGGTGCTGGAAGCGTGCGACATTGGTCGCCATATGCTCGTACTTCGGGAATGCTGTTGACGTCATCTTTCGGCTTCGTAGTATAGGCTAGATAGGATCTGCCACATGTAGTCTGGGCGCCGAGCGCCAGATAGGATATCAACTCTGGTTCTTCGTTGATGATGATGGGACTATTTCAGCATTGTCAATTATAAACTCTTGGTGTGTTCTTATTTGATGAATCTCGTGATGCAATTCTGCTGTTGGTTCGAGGTCAAGACTATCTGGACTCATGTGTATGATGCTGTTTGATTGCTGAAGTTCGCTATTGCTCATCTTCCTTGCAGAGGCTTTACGTGTCACAGTGAACGCACAGGCGATTTCATTATTGCGATCATCCTGTCAGATGACCCTCTCAGCCATCATCATGAATATAATAATATATTGGAAAGACCATTGAACTCGAATACTAGAATCAGCATCACTAGCACTTCCCTGCATACTCCTTGTACTTCGTCTACCTATCCTCACTTGCTCCTCCCCGGATCCTCTCTCCTATTGTTTTTTTTGTTTTTTGTTTTTTTTTTTGTTTTTTTTTTTTATACCAAAAAACAGGGCCTTATGGTCCCGACTCCTTCCATTCTGGGGAGCGACAGTCCGGTTCCTATTCCACCGGCAAGTCCAAGTATGATACATCACAGCAACCAACTCACGCTTCCTCCCGTCTGGCCGGAGGACCCCTGAACAGCATTGATTGCTCCACGTTGGGTGGAGGATTGACTGTCAGCTTGCCCAGAGTCGCTCTTCCCTCTCAGGTCTACGGTTGCAGTCCTGCCAGATTTATCTGTTACACCTAGAAAGAGTTCCTCCTTGCTTCAAATAGTAACTTTTCCCCCCTTGCTTCCGCCTTCCAGTGATGTGTCGACCGGATCCCTCTGTATCCCCATACTGCCGTCACTTCTCTATGAGACCCTCCCCACTCTGCACCCTCTTTGATCCCGGCCCTCCTTCCCCCTTTTTTTTTTTTTTTCCACTCTTCAATCGGCGGCACTTCCTGTTGGCTCGGATGATTCTTACTGACGAACGCAGTTTCGCTCCCCTTTCTTCCTCTAGAGCCACAAGCGGCCCGTGCTGGATTGTGGCGAACGGCTGAGGTGACAAGGCAGGTAGACCCTGTGGAAGCGGTCTCCTGCAACTTAATCCGGTGAAACCCCCTTCGACTCCAACCCTTCAAGTCGTAGTTGCTTCCTCCGTTGGTGACTGTTGCCGTACAAACCTATCCGGAATCGAGTTGTGCCAGTCCTTCCAGCTCACCCGGTCTTCCCGGATCTCGGCCACCTTACCGCTAATCAGCCAGTTCCTGCTAAATTTCGATCTCACTTTCTTTCGCTGCTCTTCGTCCTCGGGCCATTTCAGCTTGATTCTCCTCCATCTGCACAATATCTCTGCTTGGATAATCGACTTGGACTCTTTCCATACCTTGTCCCTTGGATTTGATAGTCCTTCAATTGATCTGCTGCATCTCTCCTTCCAGATCACCCATAGGGTCACCTTCCTGATGAGTTCAAACCAATTTGATTCCGCCCTCCGAGTCAGCGTGGGGATGTTAGTGAGGAGGAGGAGTTGGATGGGTTGTTCAGGGAAAGGGGAAGAGAAGAGGGAGTCCCACAGGGAAGAGGCTCTCGCCCAGTAGTCTGGCGCCTCCACACAGTGCACCAGGCAGTGAACTATGTCCTCTACCGCTCCTGCCGAGCAGACTGTACATATCTCTGAGCTATCCAGATTAGAAGCTTTACGCCTAGTGTGCAGCCATTGGCTCACTGGTAAGGCAGCGTACGCTATCAACCACTGCAGACTTCTGATTTTAGCTGGTCTGATCTGTGCATATTTTTTCCATGGGATCCGTTGGATTTTGTCGGCTTCCTGTCCCACCAGCTTTCGCCATCTGTTTAAGATAATGGGATCTGGGTCTTTGGTCTTCAGTAGTAGTCCGTATCCAAATTTAACGGTATAATCTTGAACCGGAGTTTTCGTCTTGACACTCCGATTTCTGCCTGAGGTCCATGCCCACTCTTCCGGGTCAAATTCTAAGGCTCGGATAGTCGTATCTGGTCTAAAAATCGACTTCGGCCATGTGCCTATGACCCTGACCTTCCTGAGGAGAAAAAACTCTAGTGTGAAGCACTCGACTTCCCGATTATGGATGGCAGGCATATCTGAGCCCGTGGTGGTTATTGGGAAGGAATGAAAGACGGCATTGGTGGGTGAATCACGCTGCATGTGGGAAAATTGGTATGCTCTAGTAGGAGGGGGTGTCTTGGATCAAGAGGCCCCAGTCCCCGGCTCTCCACGGCTCGTCCTTGGCAAGGATATCCTTCCATTCCTGCGGAATACAGCTAATTAGGTACTGCAAGTTGGTTTCTCTCCTGTGGCATCCTTTCAGATGTGCATTAACCTCTTGCTCCGTAGCCCAGTCTTTTCTATCCTCCTTCCACAAGTGGTATATCTTTCAGATCCCATTCTTGACCCATGACAGCCATTTTTGTTCCATATATATCGGATTGTTGGCCTCGTTCGTTATCCATTAATTACCAAATAGCGGCTGTCTGAGTATTTTGTCTTTCGACTTTGGTCTGTTGATCCTGGTGGGACATATTCTCCTCCAGAGTCGAAGCAGCACCGGCCAGTACGGGGAGGGAGGTCGGGCATCTTCTGTTCTGTTATTCCTAGTCCGATTCCTGCGTCCCGTTGTTATCCTCCATTCCTTATTCATGACCCAGAACAGTCCTGACATGTCGGGTGGGGAGCG